TATGCTTCTGCTTATAATAGCATTAGGTATCTAGAGAAACATTACCAAAATTACACTTAAAATTCATGATGGATGTCTTTTGAATATTAAATGACAGCCGATTGGAGTCACCACATTTTGATTCTTGCTAAGTCATCGTTAACCATAGTGTCTTTATGATACCAAACTATTGTGCTATCATCGGCAAAGGAATTACACAGACCACTCTTTACAACTGCAGGAAGATCATTACCATACAGTAAAAACAACAATGGCCCCAAAACAGACCCTTGCAGAACGCCGGCGCTAACACTCAAGCTACCGGAAACGCTATCCCGAGAGACACTCACTTCTATTCGACAAATAAGAACCAAACCACTTCAGGATAACACTCCTAAAAACATAGAGCTCAAGCTTGCGCAGCAGTATCTCGTGACTGACGCAGTGAAAAGCCTCTGTCAAGTCACAAAATACTGCTACAGCCTTCTCACCATCATTAAGTCTGAGGTATACCTGTTCCAGGACATTATAAATGGCATCGCTCTTATTTTTCGAGGATTGGAATCCAAACTGATTGCAAGAAAACAGCCCATTCTTCTCTAGGAAAACCACCATCCTCTCATTAATGCTTTTCAACTATCTTGCTTAGCGTAAGCGATATCGGTCGGTAGTTAGAGGACAACTCTTCCTCCCTTAAAAATTGGAATCACCCGCCTTTTTTTAAAAAAGTTGGGAAATTACCTGCTTCCACTGAATTATTCATGGTATTTGCCAAAAGATTAAGACAGGGTCCGGAAGGACAAGAAAGATCTCAATAGAAATATTGTCCCAACCGTTATTTTTGATACTCAATTTTTTTTTTTAATTCTTCTGCTGTAACTGGGTTGAAAAAGAAAGAGTTAGGAACCAAGAATTTGCTCAAGGAGAACAATGATAAAGGATCAGGGACTGTTTGTTCAGGGATATTGCCTCATGTGTCTTGCAATATTGCAGTAATACGGGTTGAAGATGATTACAACAATTTCAGCTATGCAAAGGATCCTATTATTTGGGAAGCTACCCATCCCACTAAGCAATGTAATATAGCTTTAATATTTCAGTAATATTTCTAGATAATATTGTAATATTTCATTTTTTTATTACTGCTATACCGGGTGGTCCTCCGGGAATGACATCGATTGCTTATGGGAAAACTGTGAAAGGTAAAAATTTGAAAATTTGGCAACATAGCAATGTCGATGGGGGACATCTAGGTAAAATATTTTCAAGATGGCGGCATTTCCGGTCATACCGGAAGTTGATACCAACTCGGTTATTTTAAATAGAACACCCCGTATATAAATGTATTTTTGAATTCTACATAAAATTCTGAGCAGATTTCATGTAATATACCCTATACCTAAGTTCAACTGTTTTGGAAATATTGACAGTTGAAAATTGACTTTTTGCAACTTTGACAGGCTGTAAAACCTGAACAATTAATTTTAGAGGAAACCCGATTTGACATTCCTATCTTAGATTTTTATAAACTATCATTTGACATCAACTTTGAATTAAATCCATGATTAAAAATTTCAGTTAAATTTAATCTCCGTTTAAGTTCAAAGTTGGTGTCAAATGATAGTTTATCAAAATCTAAGATAGGAATGTGAAATCGGTTTTCCTCTAAAATTAACCAATTAGGTTTTACAGCTTGTCAAAGTTGCAAAAAGTCAATTTTCAACTGTCAATATTTCCAAAACAGTTGAACTTAGGTATAGGGTATATTACATGAAATCTGCTCAGAATTTTATGTAGAATCCAAAAATACATTAATATATGGGGTGTTCTATTTAAAATAACCGAGTTGGTATCAACTTCCGGTATGACCGGAAATGCCGCCATCTTGAAAATATTTTACCTGGATGTCCCCCATCGACATTGCTATGTTGCCAAATTTTCAAATTTTTACCTTTCACAGTTTTCCCATAAGCAATCGATGTCATTCCCGGAGGACCACCCGGTATAAGTGCAAGGTTGCTGCAATTACTGAAACGGACTTATTCTAATATTCACAAATGCAATGTTTATAGAATAACCTTTTCTGCAATATCGCCTCAAACTTGTATTTTCATAAAAAATTAATTACGTTTGTAACATTAAAAATGCTAGCTTACAGAAACATGCATTTAACGTTGTTTATAAACTTAGATAAATATTACAGTTGCAATATTTTTATTGGTACTTTACAGAAATTTACATATTGAAATATTGTATATATGATAGATATTTAATATATCGTAAGGATCTGCATTATGCAAGATCCTTTATTTTCAAATTCCCTTTTCTGCCAGTCCAACTACAGACCGGGCACAATGGTTAGGTTAATAAACTTCCAATTTCCAATTGATCTTATCACACATGCCTCGATTCCTTCAACAAAGGTATTGTAAAAAAGCCACCTAAAATTAAAAATTAAACAGTATTAAAATATCACAAAAAATTAAAATGTTAAAATCTTACAACATTGGCTTTATTCTCTTCCTCTCCCAAAATCTCAAGATCTTGATGAACCCTTTCGTCCTGTTCAATTCTCTTGTATTATTTATCAAGCCAAGAAAAAAGAAGCGTCGTCTGCGTCCTTCGTCCTAGCGTCCTGGCTTTTGGTGGCGTGGCGTCAACAGAAAAGACAACAACAAATGGGTGGTGCGTCTGCGCCGTTCCGAATTCCCAAATAATTGTCCCGTCTTTGTCAGTCAAATATATTTTTGCATGACAGAGATAAAGACAGCATTATTGCAAATAAAATCTATCTGCAAGCTTTATGCAACATTGAGAAAATTTATGTTTCCTATTCCAAAGTTTATATTGAAATATTTAGGTAACGTTTGTAACGCATGTAAAGGTATCTGCAACATTACAGCGACAGTTTTAAGAAAAGTTGAGCTTATAATATTTATGCAACCATTTATTTTATTATATATTTTCAATGTTACAAACGTAAATATTTCCGCAACATTAAAGCGATAGAGTTGAGAAAAGTTACATTTCATAACATTGTTATAATATTTGCTTTACTTACATTTTATAATGTTTCAAATGTAAAACATTATTGTATCTACTGCAACATTTACTTGATAACTAAAACGAATGTTTCTCTATTGAAGTTATATCAAAGTTATATCAAATTTATATCCCTTTACATTGGATAAGTAATATTTTAGAAAGCTTAACGTCACATTACGTAATAAATTTTCTAAAGTAAGGTCGATACAATATTGCTGACAAATTTTGCAACATTACATGTTTAGTGGGATGTCTTGCTTTGCACAAAAATATAAACGAAGTCCATGATGCCTGGAAACGTGTTCAAGCCGAGTTTTCTGAAGAAATTGCTATTGCGGATTTAAAGAAAAAAAATCGTTAATGGCAATATTTAGAAACTGTTTAGACTTTTTTTATTTTTTTAATAAAAGGTAACCACAATATATGACTACAAATGCTGCAGCCTGAATACGATTATCACTCTCGAATTCCATGAAACAATCCACCATCACATTCAATCACAAGCTTGCGTTAACTACAACTGCAACTTCCCGAATTAATTCTATACAGCATTGGCTACTCGGCACATAGTGTGTACAGTTTACTTTCACTCGTACAAGTACAGTGGGAATCATTGCAATTGTCATACACTCTTCAAAATCCCTCGTATTAAGTCAAACTTCTAACCAATAAATCTATTTAGTGCAGCATTTTGCTATTACTGTGTGTCAGATTTGACACATTACGAGGGATATTTATATGGTGTGTGCCAATTGCAATGATTCCCATTGTACTTGCCAAACTACAGCCAAGTTACTTGCAAAGTATCACGCAGTGAGTAGCCGCCTTAAAGAACGCCGAGAATTTAAATTTCGTTTAATTTCTCTCTTATTAAGTTAGTGCCAGTGACGTGGGAGAAACCTTGATCAAAAAGATGTGAAGTCAAAAGACAGAAGTGAATCCTGGATTCTATCGTTATCTCCAGTTACCTACTCTGTAATTTTGCTCTGTGCTAAAGCCCTGCAATTTGCATGCCAAATCGCCCAGATATATTTTATCACAAGTCTTCAGCCAAGAAAAATAACCTTTTGTTGCGGAAGAAAAAGCTGGCTTCCTGCGTTATTGGCAAGATGCCGAAAACCCCTATTTTTGATCCTGGTCCTGAAAAAATTCCTGATTCCAATTCCCAATATCCTGAAACCGAAAATGAAATGCAGAAGGGTGAGTTGAAAGCTGCGACATCACAAAGCACACAAAACACCCTAGTTCCTTTATCAACATTTCAGTCACTAGAAAGGAGGTATGAGCTCTTAGAAAAAGAGATTAAAATTCTAAAAGAACAATTACAGACTTTACAAGCCTCATTAGATACAATTCTAATGGAAGTTAGGAGTAATAATTTATCAAAGACGAAAACGACAAAAACTAATAAAAATAAATCATGTAAAATTGACAAGGACGTACCGACTCCATCAGATACAGACCATGACATGGACATTCAAATTGACCGCCCCGTATCTGATGATGAAGATGTCATTTCCCAGGAGAAAATGGACACGTCTCTGATGTTGATTTTCCTCCACTTAAAAAACCAAAACATACTGCTTCGCTCAACTTTCCTCACAGTACTAACAAAAAATTAATGACTTATCTAAAGAACAAACATGACGATACCTCACAGAGTACAGAAACCATTCCCACAAAAAGCAATCCCCCTAAAAAAACCGTTCCAATTATTTTAAGGAATATTTTGAGACCTAAACAACTTTTAACAAAACTTACGGACATGAAACTATTTTTTACTGACCCTAAAAAAGACCGATTGTGCATTTCCATCACTCCTGACTCTCCTGATGACCATCGTGGCATCACTAAATTTCTTAAAGAACAAAAAATTGAATTCCACTCTTATTTTCTTCCAGACGAAAAAATGATAAATGTGGTGATCAAGGGACTTGACAGAAATCAAGATCTTGGTGAAGTCCAGGAGGACGCTTGAATCTTTGGGTTTTTCTCCTAAAGAGATCCAAAGATTCCAGCCTTCTCAAAGTCGCGGCCTCAAAGGCTCTTCTTTGATAAAACTCCTGGTCTTCCCAGATGAAAGCTGACAGATTTTACGACATCAAGAGGATTAGCTACATGCCGGTGACCATTGAGGCCCAGCATAGTAAGGATAAAAAGTATGTTCCACAATGCCACAATTGTCAGCATTTTGGGCATACTTTGTCTAATTGCTATGCAAAGCCCAAATGTCATCGGTGTGCTGGCAATCATTTCTACACTAAATGTACCAAAGACATAAACTCTCCCCCTACATGCGTCAATTGCGGAGGTGCACATCCGGCCAATTATAGAAATTGTCCGAAGTGTCCAAACAGAAATGTCCCTTCCACCCCCAAACCAACACCAGATCAAAGCACTTCTCCCCCAAGGGACACAGCAGCTTTATTTAAAACTACAAACCCATCTGTGAGCTACGCTCAAAAAATGAAATTGAATACAGACAATATGAATAACAGTACAAATACTAAACCACCTCAACAACAACTAAACTTGACTATAACAACCCCATTTTGAGTCTCTTGACTCTTTCAGAGCAAGAGATTTCAAATAAACTGAACAGACTGGCTAAGATGATTAATAATCATCCTAGCCTCAAACTTTTAATACAACTAAACTAGATAATGGGTGATACACCTAGACCCACACGACTTTACATAATCTCTTGGAATGCAAACTCTATCTTTCCCAAAAGATATGAGTTTGCATCCTTCTTACATGAGGATAATGTTGACATAGCATTAGTCCAGGAGACTATGCTTAGACCACATACAATACTATACTATATACAGAAATGACAGACGTAACCGTGCTGGTAGTGGTACTGCCATTTTCGTTAAAAACAATATTCCTCATGATACTATTGCCACTCCTGCCTCTGACAATGTGGAATACACTGGTGTGGAAGTCCACCTTGCAGATGACCCGCTTAATATTTTCAGCGTTTATAAGCCTCCTTCCAAACGCTTAACCCGTGATGATATGAACCTCTTCTTCGGTTCTGATGCTCCGACCTTAGTTGCAGGAGATTTAAACTGCAAAAACAGAGCCTGGGGGCGTCGCGCTAATAATACAGCGGGCACTTTTCTACTTCAATTCACCCAAGACAATTTCATCTCAGTTCATGCTCCCTTAGAGCCAACTCATTTTCATAATATTACCCCTGACATTCTAGACCTTGCTCTATCCAAAAATGTCCCTTATAACATTGGTATTGGCAATATTAACGATCTCAGCTTCGACCACACTCCAATTAGTCTTAAAGTTGGTGGTCAGGTCCCAGATGTAAATACTCACCATACTTTTTCCTTTAACAACTATCCGCAATTCAAATCACATCTTGAAGCCAAGCATATCCCACCAGTCGTGTTAAACACGACTCTGGACATTGACAGTGCTATTAACACGTTTACTCAAGAAGTAAATGACTGTTTAAATAGCACTAAAATTTCTATAACCACCAAACAAAATAACCCATACTCACTACCACATCACATACGCCAGCAAATTAAGTTGAGAAATCGACTTAAAAGGCTGGCAATAAGGACTAGAGACCCAAATATTTGACTTGAATGTAACAGATTTACGAAACTTAATTAAAAGTTTAATTAAGGAACACAAAAACGAGAAATGGGGTAATTTATTAGCTGACTTGTCCCCTGAGTATAATTCTCTATGGAAAATAATTCGTTCTATTTTAAATAAGAAAAATAGGCAGATTCCCCCCATTTATGGTAGAGCTGGTTTGGTGTATACTAATGAAGGAAAAGCAAGTGCTTTTGCTGACTCTCTTCAATCACAATTTTCACCTAATGAACACCCTGATGATGATATTGTTCATGAAGAGGACGTAGACAGGCGCTATAGAGAAATCTGTAGGCTGCCTATTCCTCCGAATGATACAATAATACCTGTCTCCACCGACGACGTAAAATTTTTCATTGCCCGCTCAGTCAGCAGAAAAGCCTCTGGTTACGATGATATTAGTAATAAAGTCCTCAAAAACCTTCCGGACAACGTCGTCGCGACATTTACTCGCATTCTAAACGAATAACTTAAACTCAATTACTTCCTAAAGCATGGAAACTGGCAACCGTGATACTGATCCCAAAACCAGATAAGGATCATCAATTTCCACAAAATTACCGTCCAATCAGTCTTCTGTCTTCACTTTCTAAAATTCTTGAGAAAATAATTCATGAAAAACTTAAATCCTTACATTATCTGGACAGCATTCTCCCTGACGAACAATTTGGTTTTCGTCCAAATCATTCCACTGAGATTCAGCTTGCCAGGTTGGTTGAAGAAACTACTCGCGCCCTGCAGCGCCGCGCCTCAACGGGTGTTGTGCTGCTGGATGTTGAGAAAGCCTTTGATCGCGTCTGGCATGCTGGACGCATAGTCAAACTTCATGACAAATATTTTCTGCCATTATCTCTTGTCAAAATGCTCATTAATTTCCTTAAAGCCAGAAGTTTCCGTGTCAAACTCAACAAAGATACTTTCTCAAATGTCAGACCTATAGAAGCGGGAGTTCCTCAAGGTTGTCCTAGCTCCACTGCTCTATAATCTCTACACGGCTGACATCCCCATTAATCCCCATACTAAAATGTCCATCTACGCAGATGACACTTGTATTTACACTTCACAAAAGTACTTACATCACATACATAGACGACTACAAAATCATCTTGACTCCATAATTGACTGGGCAAAATTATGGAAAATTAAAATTAACATCGATAAGACCCAAGCCGTCCTGATCTCCAACAAACGTGACAAGCATATTGACATTCTCATACTAGACGATTCCGAAATTACATGGACAAATCAAATTAAATATCTAGGACTATTACTGGACAGTAAACTTTGTTGGACCCCCCACATTTATCATAAACTGAATAAATGCAACAGATTAGTGGGATTGCTTTATCCATTACTTAACAAGGACAGTAAACTAACTCTAAAAAACAAACTATTACTATACAAACAAGTTAACCGACCTACATTACTTTACGGTGCAACAGTTTTTTCACAGACAACACGTCAAAATAAAAAGAAACTGCAGGTGTTTCAAAGCAAGGTAATCCGCAGGATGGTCGGCGCTCCGTGGTATGTCCGCAATGCGGACCTACATACAGACCTGAGCGTTGATACCATCCAGGATTACCTTGTTGAGAAACATACGCGGTTTCTTGACAAAGTAACTAACCATACAAATGACATAATTAAATCTTTATTTGACGATAACTATACTGTTAACCCTGACAGAACTATGTTCAGAAATTTAAGAGCTCCACTTCTTTTCTAGTGAATGAAATCCCCTTCCGTCCTTTACCTTCCTTCCTATCCTTTCCCCACTCCCCTCCCTTTCCCTGAACAAAAATTAACTGAAAACACAACACATGGCAGTAAGTAAGACTCACCCAAAATTGCGTAAGAGTGCTGTCGCACTAACGCAGTGTTAAACTCAAAAGAAGAAGAAGTTACCTACTCTGCTCATGAATGAGCTTGCTGTTTTTGCTATAGTGCAAAAAAACAAAGAAATATCCAAGCCTAAATGATAGTTAATAGAACGAAAGGCCTTAGAATTTAATGCATTAAAAAATTCCACTAAATGATCTATTTCCTGAATGTTCCTGTAGTCTGCGAAGGGCCTATATTTGCATTTTGATGTTAATGAAATGTATTTTTATACAGAGCTGTTAATGTTATCTCGTGTGAATTGCTTTAATAGACTTTATTTTAAACATTACTTTGTTTCTTTGCCTCTAGTTGTCTAAGTGTAACAATATTGATAATTTTTTGACTAGGTAGTATACTCTGTGGATTTTCTTGTAGTCAAGTCACTGTGCATATCAAGTGTTTTTCAAATATGGAAACACTACTAGTTTATTTCACCAATTTATTTTACTTTGAGTATAAAATACAAATTTCAGGTATTGGCACATTTATTTATGTATTTATATTAATTTTGCTTTTTTTTTATTTCATAAAAAGAACTGCAAATACCTAATATTTCAGATAAAAATCCATACATATGAGTATTGTTTACTAATTAAGTTATGTTATTTTAAGTCAAATACACAAATTTGTTATCTCTATTCATTTAATAAAATAATTATTATTTGTTTAAATATGTTGTCTCTTAATATAAAAAATTAAACCAGTTTTGTGATGTTATCATCACATTATTTGATATAAAGCTATCAACATATTCATATCTAAGTCTAAGTGAAAAATTACCTAAAATAAATACTAAATTTTCCTATTGAGCTACTTTGAAAAAATTTTCCCTATAATATTTCAACTCTGCAACACTTTCTCTAATATCAGCCAAAGCCCTATGTTCAAATTCTTTTTTGGGAAGTCCTTTGAAAACTGAGGTATTCCATCTTCTACAAATTTCTTTAATTGTTGAAACATCCACTATGCGATAATGTAGGTACCCGTTCAGTTTGGGCATGTGTTTAATCAGGAAAAATCTGTCCATATAAACACTGTTGCCAGCTAAGGGACAAGTATTTGATGTTACGTGATTTTTTAAAAAATCAAGAATTATATTTTCGGCTTCTTCTAAAGTTGTTTGCGATTTTAGGGAGGCTTCTGTTAAACCAGTCTTAAATAAATGTTTGATTAAAATATATTTAGTATTCGATAAATAGTTTGCACTTACTTTCCGGTGTTGCTTTATGCACCATTCATTCATGTTATCCAAAATATCTTTTGGTTGTTTTATTATTAAATCTGGACCTTCAGCTATAATGTTTAAATTGGAATCAGTTACTAGACAGGCTATTTCCATTATTTTGTCTTGATCTACATTTAAGCCAGTCATCTAAAAAATATAAAAAAATGTCCAAATAAGAGATTTGTGAAAAAAGAAATCAGAGAGGTTTATCATTGCAACTCACTTCATGAAAACACTGTAGTTTTCTTGAAAACAAGTTTGATCATATTGAAAATATAATTTTAAGTTTAACCAAGTAAATGTGAATTTCTTAACAGGGTCTCGGCCTTTGAAGCAGAATATTAAACAGAATCCAACAAATCGAATCATGCAGACCATTTTCAAATAAAACATTTGTCCAGGTTTTTGTCTCTTTAACTATTACATTTTAGTTAACATTTTCAAACTAATTTTAAAACTTACTACCTACTTCCATATCGATCCATATTAATCGGTCCATTTCAAAATCTAAATGCTTGCCAGCTGCTATTGCAAGTCCATCTACTGTACTGTTACAACTATTGCTTTTATGAAGGCCTAGAAAAGAAAGTTTATTTAATTTGAATTAAGATCTAGGGCATTTTTGGGTTCACTTGGAGGGATGTTGAGGGATTTTAAAAAACTTTGGTTTTAATGGATTGATAATTTTTTTCAAAATTTCTTCTCACCATCATCTGCTGATTTTCTACATAGTTTTAATTAAAATTGTTTTTCAATTATTTTTTAATATATGTATATGTTCACTTTCTCTTGTGGAATTTCTTAATAAAAATGAAATACATCTCGGCTTTGAATGATGTTTAAGTAGAACAAATTAAGTAGAATCAAAATCAGAAAGTTCTGCTAGGAGCTGCTATTTAAGAGCTTTAACTATTTAAAGCTGTGCCTATGCACATGTCTCGGGACAAGTGAACTGCTTGAAGCAAGAAAAGCAGTACCAATGAACAGCCTATATAAGAGATTGTTATTTGCAGGAATCTTTGCAACAATTGGGAAAACTAGTTTTGTAACTCCATTTTTCAAATACCAGAACAACGTTATTTTATGAAAAACAAATCTACAGTCCCAATTTGTTAGAATTTTGGAACCTGTTTGATGCAGTGGGGGAGGGGTTTCGAATAGACGTGATATATACCGACTTCTCCAAGGCGTTTGACAATGTCGATCACAAAATTCTGGGAAAAAAATTAAAAGATTGATGGAGCCTTTTCAAGTTAAGTGACTGACCACCTTGCAGGAAGAAAACAAAAAGTAAGAATAGAAATCTGATGAGGGCCCCACAGATTACGATGAAACACGACAATTTTCATCGCCGCGATGAGACACGTCGTTCCAAAACCGAAGTGTGTGGTTGAAAACCGTCGTGTTTTTCACTTAAAGTGCGTTTTTTTTTTAAAGATAAAAGTCAAACTGACATTAGGTTGGCAATACAATGTAAAATTGTCAATGCTTTCAAATTTTCCATGTAGAAAAGGCTTGTGTTGCCAACATAGATACTAAATTTTTGACTTGGGGAATTATCTTTAAAAAAAAAACAGATTTTAGTGCTAAATGTAATCACTTTTAAGGGCCCCATACACTACGACGAAACACGACGGTTTTCATCGCCACGATGAAACACGTCGTTCCAAAACCGAAGTGTGTGGTAGAAAAACACGACGGTTTTCTGACACACACTTCGGTTTTGGAACGACGTGTTTCATCGAAGCGATGAAAACCGTCGTGTTTCATCGTAGTGTATGGGGCCCTTTACACCAGTGTCATAAAATGGCATTTTAGACAAACGTCAAAAAAACGTCACTTTGTCAGCACCTGTCAAGATGTTAGAAATTTAATTTCTATGCTGGTAGGCAAAGTCAGCGGGTTAACACCTGTCGAGGTGGTAGAAATTTAATTTCTATGCTGCTAGGCAACCGCAGCGGCAGTAGAAGTACTTTTAGTGCCGCTGGAGCGGCAGCAAAAGTACTTTTAGTGCCGCTCGTACTTTTACTGCCGCTTAACCAATCAGTTACCCCTGAGCTTACCCCATTCGTTTGGAGAAAAAATAGCGTGTTGCATACGGAGTAGAAGCACTTTTTTGTGCTTCAGCAGTATTGCAAGCCTCACTACGTTCGGCTCGTAAACCTACTGCTTCAGCACAAAAAAGTAAAGCTTCTACTCCTAATACAACAATATACTATTATTTGCAACCATATAATATGTAATCTTGACATTACTGGTTTTTTAAAGGACCCCGCACACTTCTTATGAGATTTTGGTTGAACGCGGAATTTAACCAAACTTTGGTATGTTGTATATTTCGACCTCCTGAGTAAAAGTTCTCATGGGTACAAACCGATCCTATGACTAGTTTCGGATATACGGGGGTTTTTCTAATACTACCTCAGGCAACCTGAAAATACTGAATTTTCATGGTTTTTGCGTTTATTTGTGGTAGGTAGCTTCAAAAATTGTTGATTTAGTTTAGACCTTTTACAGAAAGGTGCATGTTTTTAGTTAGGTGCCTATATATGTGAATGTACGAGGGTATTTTGAAAAATACTTGTTTGGTAGGCCTTTGTGTGTTTTTAAAACAAACACAAATAGAAGTATGACAAACTATATACTGTATTTTTTCCCAAGATAGATTTTGACTTGACACTGTCAACTTTGAAACATAAACAATGCCGCTTATTGGCAGTGGCGACGCCAGGGGGGGGGGGGCAGAGGGGGCCCGGGCCCCCCCTGAAATTTAGCCGGCCCCCCTGAAAACTTGCCTTCATGCCGGCAACAACGTAACACAACACCTCAGCCTGTGCCGGTTTAAGGAGCGCGCCCACTGAGAATTCGATATACGGTGGGTACAGGCAACCGCAACGCTGCTTTCGCTTTTCTCTGGGATTCCCTCAAGAAACGTAAACTAACAGATGTGGAATTCTGTAACGAATAGAGATATTTTCGCTATTGCCGTCCCCTCTCTATTGATTTGCAAAAGAAAGAAGAAGACAGCAACGATTTCTATCCGTTACACAAGCCCGCCTGGATTGTTCATCCTCATAAAGCTAAGGGTGGATTTTCATGCATCCGTTTATCCGTCAATCCGAGAGTATTCCTATTGGTCCAATATTTTGGCACCAAAGAATTGGACCAATAGGCATACTTCCGGATCAACGGATTGACGAAAAAACGGATGCATGAAAAGTAAGCTTAAGGGAGGATTTTCATGCATCCGTTTTTCCGACGAAATATGTCCGTTTAACATTCTATTCTGACATAATCGTATATAAATATGTCAAAATAGAAGACTTTTCGGACATATTTCGACGGAAAAACGGATGCATGAAAATCCTCCCTTAGGCGCACTATCAGCAGCTTAAAGCCTAGTACTCATAACCGCGAAATTTGCTTTTTTTTGACATTGCTCCGACAATTTGACGTTTGATTCACGCATAAAACGTCAAATTGTCGACGCAATGTCAAAAAAGAGCGAATTTCGCGGTTATGAGTACTAGGCTGAAGTAAAGTGGTGACGACACCCGCAGGCCTCGATGGGATGCTTGCGATTCAGGTTCGGCTTATGCATTTTACGCTGAAAATTGAGGTCTGCGGCTGAAATGGTAGCATTCCTATATGGTCAAGTTTTCTTGGGATTCCCCCAAAATAATTAGTGTCGGCTTGTAAAACTGATTACAACCTGCAGGGACACCTCATTTTCCGACCAATCAGGGCCAAGCGTTATTGTCTCGGTTATTGTTTATGTTTCAAAGTTTTCAATGTCAAAATCCACCTTGAGTTCTCAACAATAAGATTTTCTTCCTCAAATCCTAACTCGTTTCAACGCTTTACAGCCAATCTACGGACTTCGGCATCTTTCAGTAATAAAACAGTGCGATTTACTCTTACTCTAGTCCTTCATTGCACACAGGGTTGCCAGATGGTTATAACTAATTTCCCCCAAAGGATTTCAAAAATACCCCAAAAATCACTGTTTGTCAACTAAAATCCCCCAAATAAATATAGATTTATTCTCGACTCATACTTGCAAAAAAAAAAGACAAATTCGGTGAATATTTTAAAATAAAACTCATACCCTTACCACTTTTTTAATTGTTTATTTACGACTGACATATAATGTAAGTATTATAATTGTATTGTATTGTATTGTAATTTTGGCAGTATAATGCCATATATTATTCCCGCAGGGAATAATGGTCATTATTCCCGCTTGCACACCAATCACAGAATTTCTCAAATTAAATAATTAGTACCTATCATGGAAACAATATACCTGAACAAACTCAAAAGTGTCAGTGTCAAACGCGTAGTGCTTATGTATTTGTATTGAGATGGATGAACAAAGAGCGTTTTTGGAAAGAAAATTTCAAATAAATTAATTTGTCGTAAATAAAGTAGCGTATACTACTCGCAATAATGGCTATTATTCCCTCGAAATGTTACTCCCTCGCCGCTAACGCGGCTCAGTTCGTAAATATTCCTCGGGAATAATAGCTATTATTATTGACTCGTGGTTTAATCTACTATTATATTTTTCTAATACCAAAAATAAAATGACAATTGACAAATGACAAATGAAATAAAATGTTGTGACTGGTGACAGAACAGATAAGTACAGTTGTACCAAGAACTCCAAGGAGTTTGGATAGTTTATTATTATATTATTAAGCTGCATTAAAATTTAGAATACAGCAACTTATGGCCGTTTCCACCAACTATATTAGGGGAGCCGTAACGATAAGTATTCCCTAAAATGACATTTTTACACGGAGAAATGTTAGTTTGAGGCATACCTATCGTTGGGGCTTCTCTAAAATAGTTGGTGGAAATGGACATTAGAGCACTACGCACTATAACCGCAAAGAAATGCAAAACGCAAAATAAAAAATAAACAAGGGAAGCAACGTCGGTCGTTGGGGATTCCCCCAATCCGATTTGTCGAGTCAATTGTCATTTGTCATTACAAATTAAAATAGATCTAGAACTGAGCGTTTGCGTTCATCCCGAGAAGGAGCAAACTGTATCTTTTTTATTGGTACTTGATTGAAAAAATAGATGGCGCAGTTGTTTTAATACATTTTTTACTTTAGTTTTATTCATTGAAATATACCCGATTTCCCCCAATAGCGAAAATTCTTACAATTCTTACCCCCAAAAAATCCCCCAGATTTTCCCCTATCTACTTGAAAATCCCCCAATCTGGTAACACTGATTGCACACGTAGCACATTACCTTTCCCGAATTGCCATTTTCACAAGAAAGGTGACAAAAAAGACAATTCGCTTTATTGACAGGGTCACTGTTTTGGTTCCATGGTTACCAAGTGAAATATAACATATGAAAAAACAATTTTCATTGCTTTTCTTTCCATGACTGTTTAGATTTTTCAAACAAATCACCAAGTGTATGCAGGGTTGCCAGATCTATGAAATGAAAAAGCGGGACTGAGGTTATCCAGAAGGAAAGCACGCTAAAATTTTTTTTCGGGTACCACGCCCAAAAGCATAAGGGGGGAGGGGCAAGTGCCCAATAGGCCTGTTCGC